GGGGGCCCAGCCCTTCCCTAGGAAGGGGTTTTCAGGCTGTTGAGTGAAATCAGACTCACCCCAGGGACCATCAGAGAACAGCCGAGGCCAGGAAGCGGGAAGGGCAGGGTACCCAGAGGAGGGAGGTCAGCGTGCGTGGGCAGTCACAGAGGGGGTCCTGGAGGAGGTGGGTCGGTGAGGAGAGGCTTCAGGGTGGCCCTGCCATCGCACGGGGCAGGGGACAGTGTTTGGGAACGTCTGAGCCAGGGAGTGATGGAGCTGAATGTAAAGGATGGAAGGAAAGAAGGAGGAGGCCAGTGGCCGTGGTGTCAGCACAGTGCCAGCCGGGTGAGGAGGCCTGTCCCCGGGCAGTGGCGGTGGGAAAGGAGGCGGGGATGTTTGGTGAGGGTGCAGGGGTGTAGCCCGGGTCAGAGGAAAGGATCAGGAGGAACCGATTTGAGAAGGATGGTTCACGGTCTGCTTCCATGAAGTCTCGGGAGCCAGCAGAACTTTGGGAGAGATGTCCCCAGTAACCAGAAACTGATAAACTTGAGAGAGGATGGAGTCGGGGGCCCCTTGAGCTTGAGTGAAGCTGACAGAACAGGGGCAAGTGGGCTGGGAAGGGTGATCGGCTGGGAGAAGCCTTTCCAGCCTTTCCAGGGAGCGGACAGACAAGCTGTCCCGGACGAGGGGAGAGTCACGGGCGTGCTGCTTCCAGAGAACATGCTCTTGGAATGAAACCAGGTCTGGGCTCCCCCACACGCTGGAGCTGTGCAAGACAGAGGCCCCCTGCTCCTCCCAGCCAGAGGTGGGGCCTCCCTGGAAAGCCAGGGGCCTGACCTCCCAGGCCCGAAAGCTATAGCCGGGCCTGAGCCTGGAGCGTCCTTGGCCCACCCCCAACCCCTCCTTACCTTGGCTTCACCGGAAACCTTGCAGCCAGGGCCCAGCGGGTCTCGGCCACCGGCAGGGCGTGGGCCCTGAGCTGCTGAAGGAAGGGCAAGGCCAAAGCCAGGTGCAGGCAGGGGAAGAACAAGAGAGAAAACAGATCCATCCTGCCCACCCACCACGCACTGCCTGCGGGGGCCAGAGACAAAGGACGCTCTTGACTGGTTTACTTTGGAACCTGAGGCTGCCTGGCTGGGGGGGTGGGGG